CGCATGCTCATGATTAGCGATAACTAAGTATTGAGAGATTATTGGCTCCCCAATATCGCACGTACAAAATATCCTCACACTTACGCTTGTGCAGTGAGTATTCTTTACTAATTTCTTTTGCTTCACGAAAATTTCATTATCGCAATCGTGTTTTCTGATAATTATTTTGATAAAATTTCTATTAAAGACTAATTTTCGGCATTAAAATATGGGTATTACAGGCTAGTAAGCGCCTGACAAGTGCGGTTGACGGTGTGAAATTCATTTTATTACACTCTCAGAAATCTATTTAAACTTCACACATTCTTATTGTATTACGAAATGTGGATTAAAAAATGTTCGTTAATATATAATATTCAAATACTTTTCCAACTCTGTTAAAGTTAATTTCACACCGTTCACCGCTCTTGTGGTTTTCATTAGTCTACATTTTAACGATTGAATATCAAAAGAATTTTATGGTTTATTTAAATTGCGATATTTTGAGTAAAATTACGAAAACTCGATGTCACTTTCTTCTTAGCTGAAGTAAAAATTCCCAATTTTAGAGCAAGATAGTTTTATTTTCAAGCAAACGTTTTAGAACCGTTGCAACGACCGCGTATAGAGGCCGGCGACATTATTTTTGCGCAACGTAAACGAGAGGATCGATCGCGCGAGCGAGCCAGGCTGTCCTGTACAGCTGATATTTGCCATTTTTGCTATTGTCGCCCTATTCAACCTGGCGGGATCGACCCGGCGGCATCCCTTCGGCACACGGCAACCGGCGGCGCAATTCAAACGCGTGTCAGATGCTTTCTCCCGCGGTATTTCCCACTGCGCGAAGATCGATCGCCCTCATTGCGTGCTTGGTACACGTATCCCCGACACGTAATTGCCGTATCTCCGTCGGCTGCTGCGGATTTCCTGCAAAATATATTACGTTTCTTCACGACCGACGTAACGAACGCGCAGGGAGCGCTGCGTCCGAGAGATTTGCAAATTTTGTTTGTCGTAAAGATAATTCCCCGCACGCGAAATTTCCAAACAAATGCTCCTAACGACATTTTCGTTACGAGAGCTTCTCACGACAACGTTCCATCTTCCAGAGCTACATTTTCAAGCGTCGAGGATGACGCGGATTTAAGTTTCGTACGGATACTGAATCAATAGTAATAATAATCAATAATAGCTGCAAACTAGCGATAATAAAATATCTACGCAACTCTTTGAAGAGATAGCGAGAGATGTGAAATTTTTAATAACTATGTAAATTTATAAAATATGTACTACGTTCAAACAATATTATTATGTTTCTATACATACATACATACATTACGGTCCGAATTTATAAACGCGCAGAGCAGCGGTTCAATAACCGGTGATTATCGAGCACTTATTCTAAACCTAATGCAACATAATTTCTCTTTTTCTATGGTATTTTTAGTCTTCTATAAACTTGACGAATAATGAGCGTGTAATGATGTACTGAATCGACGGTAACAATCGCGCATCTGTGTGTTTTTTTTTTTTTTTCTTGTATTGGTTCGATTACTCATTTGCATGTTAATTCGTCCTCACTTATAGTTAGCATACCTAGAAATACACGAGGCATAATTGCCGTCGATTACGCGGAAAACGCCGGAGAGACTGAAACACAGAATATTATGTGAAGTTACAAGTGTTTCATTATCGCGTGACCGGCTATCGTGCGCGAAGCGGCGAACGTAAATTGGTTTCTACAAGTATTCGTCGGTTGAGAGAGAAAGAGGCGGATAGCGATTAGTCAATGGAATCCTTTTTGTCGAAGTAAAACGGTTGCTCTTAGAGCTTATCCTTGAAAAATGTATGCTGAAGCAATATCAACGCACTAAAGATATTTATTTTTGTCTTTCAGCGTTCTTCATTTGCTCTATATGATTGTTCAAAGTGACTGACTTTCTCTTGCTGAGATTCATTGTCCATTGAGCATGGGTTTTTGTTATTTTTCTAATGTTCGGACTTTCTCAGTGATCGATCAGTTTGAGATCGAACTCTTCTGCCACTGTTTGGATTTCTCAAAGTTATCAATTTCGTATGTTCAGACAGTCACTAATTATTTTCCTTTACAACGAATATTCTGTTTGCTCTTTTTTTCAATGTCCAAATTGTTGAAACAATCAAATCTTGAGAAGAACCGAACAGATTGACCATTTGTTACTCAAACGTTTTCGCTTCCAACTATTCCAACAGTTTGATTATACGATCTATTGGAATTTTTTGAGTCCTAATTCTGGCGAGAGAAAGAGAAAATTCCTGGGCATTTTGATATCGGAATTATTTCAAGGAATGCACTTTCCGGATAAAAAGTTGAATCTAATTTTAATCCTTGGTAAATTCAATTGTTATTTTAAGTTTTTAATTGGTACCATTGAGACGTGTGTCTAACGAGAGACATACTTTGTTTTGCAGGAGGAAGAGGGATATTGATGTCTGAAGGAGAAGAGGATTCTCGGGCACTGAGGTCGACACTCGACGACTCGGATGGGAACGACGACGGGAAGAAGTGTACGAGGAGGCGGCGGCACGCAGAGGGTATCGAGGGAAAACCGCGTCTGGCCGCGTAAAAAGGAGGAGGGGGAAGGACCATTCGTTGTGATCTTGTCGGATGAGTGCATCCGTGCGCGCGGACTAAATGTTTTCCTCTCTCTTCGGGCTTTCGGTCGTTCCGCCGTGTGCCGCGAATGCGTATCCAAGTTTCCTCCCGTCTCTCTTTCCCTTCTCTCAAGCAGAGTATTTGAAACTGATGCAATTTGCGAATACTAAACAGCGATACCATAATGAATAATCGTAAAATGAAACATTCGAAAGATTATTTCTCTCAAAGTGATAGAAATGAAAAGTATCGCGCGAAATATTTAAAATGGTAATTGTATTTAACTTCTACACGATATCATTAATTTAAAGCTTTTCATTCGCGTGTTTAATAAATACAAATTTTACGAAAGGGCTTTCGACATATTTTTAACATTGCATTAAATCGATTCAATCGGAATCACAAGTGTTGTTATATTTTTCCGATTAAGAATTTACACGATCAACCGACAATTGTTTCAGCCTTGAAATTTGTATTCATTTGTTACAATTACGAATTATTTATAATCAACGAATTATCAATCGTTAATTTATCCAATAATTCATAATTTTGTTTTTCGTCTCAATCCGATTAGACTTTGAGAAATTCAGTCGGAAAGCCGCCGGCACCGACCGCGAGCGTCGACGACGGCGACGATGAAAATGGAGGCGACGACGACGGTAGAGTAATGCGCGATTCCGTCGTGGGAACGATAACGAGCTCGCGGCAACGGGGACGATATTAATAACGGCGATGACGAGTCGCAGGTGGAATACGGAGCGCAGGAGGCGGGCAGGTCAATGAGGAAATTCTCGGGCGCGAGGTGCGCGCCTACCTTGATCGCTAGTGCGATGTGAAGGAGGGAAAGAGGGGAAGGTTGAAAGACGTGGTGGGGACAACCGAGGCAGGACGCAATATACCGAGCGAAACCAACGAGACGGGGGCAACGGCAAAACGCCGAGGCGCGAGGCACGCGGGTCGAGAAATATGCGGACCTTTGTGCGAACAGCTGAACCGGAAGTCGTGCGGGCACCGCGCGTTTCCCCTAATCGGCCCTGTCGCTGTCGCCGATAGGAGGGTCACTCGGCTAAAACGACACCGTACAAAGGCGACGGCGTGTCTCTCAACGCGGTTATGCCTTTAGGCAGGTCGAATCCGAAAGGTTGAACATCGAAAAGCGGAATGTTCTTCGTCCTTGGCTTGCCTACTCGAGACAACTGTTTCTTTTTCCAATTCGAGTTGAAGAACACAGTTGAAAAGTGTTTTAAGCTTGATAAAGAGGAATGCACACGTCTGCGAAGTAGAAATGATCATAATTGTTTTGCAATCAATTATTTGACTTAAGATGTAGAAAGATTTATAGCTATCAGCCTTTCTCTAATTGAATATATTAAATGTTTCGAGTGTCGAATCGTTAAACTCGGAATCAATGATTAATCCGAAACTAAGAATTTGCCACAATCATGTTAAAGTTAAAGAAAAGGACGATATCGTTTCTCGAGATACATGTATATTGGCACGTACTATAGTATTAATAGCATCGCGTGTGCCTTCGATTCGCGCGGAACACGTGTCGCGCGTGTGTCTTCTATATAATGACGCAGACGTACGACTGTCGGTCTCTCGGCGGAGCAACGCTCTTCGATTAAACAACGCGTGTCGCATTTATTTCGCCCGTTTCTCGCCGCAAAACGAAGCCGACGATAAACGCGGCGATTCGAAATACACGAGTTGCGTAACTGAGGTTAGGTGTACTAACCTAGGAAACCTTCGTAATTAACGGTGTTTGGCGCCCGTGGCCAGGATCTAAATCTGTGACACTAAATTCTCGGTGTGCGCTTATTTAGGTAAAAATAGACGTGATATAACTAAATGTAAATAACGATAGGATATAGCGCGAATTCGAACGTAATGAAATGAGGATACGAGATATATACATTGTAAATAAGTTTTGTAAGATGTATTCAACTTCATGGACAGAGAATTACTATTACTAATAATATCAATAGTACATAATTGTGAAAAAAGACATATTGGAAGATATTTGATAAACAAGCAAGCGAGGATAAACACGAGGATCCTTCCGCTCTTCGAATCGGTCGCGTCGCGATAGTTTCTTCCGCGCCCTCGAAATTAGCCGTATCTTTTCACGCGCCCATATGATCATAAAGGCGTGAAGTCGTGAACGTTCTCCCGGCGCGCAGAGTAGAGCGGCGTTCGCCGCGTCATTGTGGCGTGGTTAATTCGACATTTCCCACAACCTCGTTCTTCTCGCAGAGATCGCAGCGGAAGCGGCGACACGAGGAAGAGGCGGAGAAAGAAGAGGAAGAAGAGACGAGAGTTTCGGCGATCTTGCGGTCGTAGTGTCTACGCGTGTGTGCGGTGCCGCGTGACAGTGGACGCGTGTGACAGTGCGCGGTGACAGTGCGACAGGTCGGAAGAAGCGAGAGAACAAGAGGAAGACGGCGAAACGCGACGGAGGGTGAAGTAAACACACGGGAAGTGCGAGTGAGGCCGAGAAAAAGAAAGGAAGTGCGACGCAGGAAGAGTGCGAAGCGGGAAGAAAGAGAGAAAAAAAAAGGAAAGGGACAACTGTCCTCGGCGCGTGCGTCGCGCGACGTGAGGAGTATGCTGCGGAGTAACGTAGTTGTTAGACGAGTTTCACGGATCGATCGATCGGCCGATCGAATTTTCTAAATAGGATACGCGCCGCCGATAACCGCGTGTGTTTACATATGTGTACGGGCGTGCGCGTGTGCGTGACTGCCGCCGCGCACGGAATCGTCGTCGACGGAATCGTCGTACTCGCCCGGCCAGGCCGGGCCGGTGAATCGCCGCGCCGCGCCGGTGGATCGACCGCCGACCGCCGCGGGAAACTTCAGATCCGGTTCGCTTTCCACGGCTGACGTCATTACCGGTGAGTCGTTTTTGTTTTCTCTCTTTTTTTTTCCCTTCTCTCCTTTTCCTCTCGTCCGGCGCTATTGCGCCGGCAGCCAGCGTGACCGTCGTTCGAACGGCGGAATTGTTTACTTCACCATTGCTCGGAAACAATCGGAGAATTTTACGCCGTTCTGCGAATTGAACCAAATACCAGCGACGAAAAAAAAAGAAAATCGCGTGGATTTTAGGTTTGTAATCCACCAGAATTCTTTTGCTCGAGTTTTTTTTTTTCTTTGCAGTATTTGGCAAGATCGATAGGGCTGAACTTTAAGTCCCATAGTTGGGACTTTAGAATTTCGGCAATCTGGTTTGTAAGTTGAATTTACCTAAAGAATCAGTCGTGAAATATAACATCGCGAGTTGAGGACGCATTGTAGGAGGGGAAAGAATTATTCGTGAAGCGATATTACCGTATAATAATCCATACTGTACAATCATTAAATTAGATACTTTATCATTAATCACGTCAAGGCAGAAATTATTTTTAATTTGCGACATCACAGTTACCGACTTCTAAACATAAATTCGCCTTTTTAAGGGGCTTTAATAAAGGAGAAAAAATGAAGACGCAAATGATGATATTGGATCTGATTTTTCACGTTCCTCGTCTACTTCGTAAATCTAACAGAGGGAATTAACCGTTGATCGTTATACCGTGATAGATTCACATTCGTTTCTTAAGGACCGTCCATTTGACGTGGTATTAATTACTCCAACGCCGTCGGGGGCGTAGCGTATATGCCGTGCGTGTAAAATATACGCGTGACGTGTACGCGTCAGCGAGAAAGTCTGTAATTACTGCAATTTAGTCGTAGCTTGCAAACGCGTGGTCTGCAGCGCATGAAAATATCGATGAAGACATCCGCAACCTTGGGGACACGTCATTTTCATTAGTGGTGTCATTCTTCTGTGGCGGTATTTCTTGTCTCGCTAATGATATTTGTTAGTATCCATCTCTTACTCAATTCATTACTATTCAGAAACACTTGAAATATTCATGATGCCGAAGTTAATGGAATGCCGTACTTTTCGTTCGGCTGAAATATATGGAATAATTAATAAATGCCATGATAATTATTGCAAGCGGAAGATCTTATCAAGTTATTTAAGATACTGTGAAATATCCTTGACAATACGAAATAACTTTATCCAATTTTTATTGGAATTAATTCTTAGAGGTCTTTGAAATTGTACTATTTACTTTTTTCAGAGTACTCTTAATATTTTTGATTAATCCTTTTTTTTGCTACGTTTACTTTCCGCTTACTTTTAGATCTACTTTGAGAAATGTGTAATTTATAATAGAATTCGAAATATAAATTTCTTTCATGCGCTGTGTGTAACACAAAGCATTTGAAGAAGTAGAATACACAATATGTGTTTTTTAATTCTTCAAATGTTTTCTGTGTTACAGCATATACAATTATAGATAGATTCTATCTCTTGAATTTTGTCGCGAATTCTAGATCGTCTAAAGTGAGCTTTGGAAAAATCTTAAGGCTATCCTCTCTTTCGATGATATTCAATTTCAATTTATCGAAATCATTTGTTGAGTTTTTACAAATCTTGATTATTGACTCTTGCGTTTAAAAGCTAAAATTACTGCTAATATATCGTGAAGGAATTTTGAATCATCTGCGAGGTTTTTCAAAATCACAAAGGGACGGTTTATGGGTGATGGCTTTCTTGCAAGCATATGCTCGTAATACGACCGCTCACTGGTTTAAACTTCTGGCCGCGCGAAGCCGGACGTGTGTCTGATCCTCTCCAGGTAACGGCCTGTTGTCGGTCAATGTGTGCGTCTGTATGCGTGTCGTGTTTGCCCGCACATTGGTGTGCGTGAACTCCGCGCCGCTGGTTACTCCGTCAGGCGAGTCGGTCGTTCTTCTTTTCCAAGCGCGGGGAAAGATGGCTGCCTGCTGCATAGTTCTCTCTTTCTCTTTCTTTCTTTCTCTCTCTTTGTGCAGTTAGACGAGACGCAGACGCTGACTGGCGCGAGCCGTACGGCAGGACGGTTTTAGAGAAAGTTGGAGCGAGGGAAGAATGCACCGGGGTGTATAATGAAGGACACATGTCCGTCGTGCCGGGCGGTAATTTTTAGAAATAGTAAAACGCGTAACGCAGTCGTCGGCGATTTTGAGGAATTTCGAGTAGTTACTCGCTCATTGAAAGTTTCCACCAAAACGATGAATACGGATTTAGTGCAATCGGACTGAGAAATACACCGTAATCTTTAATAAAATTAGTATCAAATTAATGTAACGCGGCGGGTTAACGCGTTGATGAAAATATTATGAAAGTTATATTCCATTATGATTCAGTCAAAATCAATTTAACATTTTATTGTAGATGAACCTTAGAATTTTAGAAACTTAATTTCATGAAATTAACATATTCATTAAGACTGATTACGAATTGCGCTACGTTTTAATTTCAAACTCTATCTTTACTTTCTCAGTGAGATTTTTCTATTTTACGGAATGAAACGGATTTTGCCGTGATATTGAGCAATTGGTTACGGCAGCAAAGTTTCTTTCGCTTTCGCGTGGAATAGAGATACGCAGTGGCAGCGATGATCGTGCTGCGCCGGCAAAATTCTTCTCCTTTGAATACAAGTTTCGCAGCGCGCATCGCCGTCCTCTCGTGCTTTCTCTTCATCGCCGCGACGCTGCGTCAGATGTAGGTCCGCGTGCGGCGTCGATACGCCCTTAATTAATTTATTTTTCCCCGTTTCCGCGTGTTTGCCGTGGCTGCGCGAATGTCCTCACTTTTCTCTCTCTCTCTCTCTCTCTA